TTGGAGAACTATAGTCGGGTGATAGTGTTCGAAAGATCATAAAAGGGTTGTAGTTGGGAAACGATGTTCTGAGGCCTGTCGTCAAGTGATAGTGGTCGGAGGATTGTAATCAAGCAATAATGATAGACGACTGTATTTTGGTGATGATGGTTGAAGAATATTAGTGAGGTGATTAATAATTAAAAAATCTCAGTCAGGTGACGGCTATCTAAGGGCCTTAGTCAAGCGATGGTGGAGGTACGAAGACCATAGTCGAATGATGGTGGCTGGAAAATTATAATTGGACGAGGTTGGTCAGAGGTCCATAGTCCGAGGATGATGGTAGGAGGATCATTGTTGGGTGATGGAGATCGGAGGACAGTAGTTAAAAGATGGCGGCTGGAGGAGTGTAGCCAATCATTGTGGTCAAAGGAATATACATAGGTGACAATGAAGGATGGTGGAATAGTTAGTGATGGTGGAGATCGGAGGGTCACGTGATTATAGTCGAACAATGGCCTAACGATGGTGCTCGATTGGAGCTAAAATATTCATAGAGCCTATATGCTTTCCTGAATCTTAAGCCAAAGTCCAAGCTCTAGCTCCAAAGTCCCCAGTCATCCTTCATGTAGAAAATGGATGCTTATTTATAATTTTTTTTAAGTGGCATACCCATAAATATGGAGAAAAACTGAAGCACTGTTGGACTTATTGATTCTCTTGATCATATAGCATTCATTTAAAGTTTAATTGCCTTAATCTTGTTGGAATTGAGTGGTCTTAGGCTGATTTGCCTTGTCAAGATGCTCGATTTGACTATAAACATGTCAAATTTAGAGATCATTTCCTCATTCAATTAGTATGCACATATCCTTAAGTGTTCCATTATACATCAAGTGCTCAATTTGGGATCATTCAGACTCAAATTGGCCACTTTTAGTATTGTTGGGTTCGTCGTATCGAGACATATAGTCCAACTATAAGTTTTCTAAAATTGAAGTTTATATGGTCCTAAATTTAATTAATCTTTTTTAAATATGAATCACGATGATTTCTTATGACATATTAGTGCTAATGTATAGAGTCATAAATAATGTCGATGATGTGCATCTAACTTGTAGGTTGTGAGATGCATCGACTCTATTAGAAATGATGCATCATTGTAATCGAGCGATAATAGTCAACTGACATGGTCATAAATAATGTCGATGATGTGCATCTAACTTGTAGGTTGTGAGATGCATCGACTCTATTAGAAATGGTGCATCATTGTAATCGAGCGATAATAGTCAACTGACGTGGTCAAATGACATGATATGAGACCATGTTGAAGGAGTGTATCCATGAGACCAAAATTAAAGAATTGTAGTCATGTGATAGGGTCAAAGGACCATTGTTGAGCGGCCATTGTATGATGAATATCGTCGAGCAACTTTGGTTCGAAGATCCTAGTTAGGTGATAATGGTCTAAGAATCATAGCTAACTGACTGTGGGTGAAGGACTATAGATGACGATTATCGTCGAGCGATTGTCATCAGAGGTATGCGATCAAGCAATGATGGTTGAGAGTTCACAATCTGACGATGTTGGCCAAGGAACCATGATCAGGCAATAGTCATCAGAGTATCATAACCATGTGATAATAAGATGATAATGATGGTTAGAGGATTATAGTCGAGCAATAGTGATCGTTGAGCAACTGTGACTGGAAGATCGTAGTCAGGTAATGATGATAAAAAGAAAATAGATAGCTGACTATGGCAAAAGAGTCATAACTGTATAATGTTGGTCAAAAAATTATAGTCAAATAATGATCATATGAAAATTATAATTTATTGATAAGATCGACAGACCATGAGCAGGATGACGGTGATTCTTATGATCATAACCATACAAAAATATATGAAAATTTACGGTTGTTTTGGCCAAAAAATCCGCTGACTATGCAAAGTGAAACCAAAATTATTCCATATTTCCCCATAAATAATTCCAGTAAATTAGCCTTTAATAACTCCAAACAATGCAAGGAGATGTGGCGGTTGCAGTTCGGGTGGAAAGCCATAATTTCCATAATGGCAGACCCACGGTGTCGGCCATGATGTGGGGCCCTTTTCCCGCCACTCCTGCGAAAGAACACGTTATTAAAGAATTGTAACATTTAGAGTACGTTACGAAAATAATTAATAAATAATTATATCCTCACACATTGCAACTAATCCCTCGATAAGCCTACCAGCAATCAGCCCTATAGGTGTAAGACCCACAGTTTTTTTCTCCCCACTTAAAGGGGGCATGCCACATGAGAGGGAAATCGAGCATAAGTTGAGGTGTTCCCAATCATGCTCGCCCACCAACCCAGCTAAACATGGTGGGGTTTCCTGATAGAATCTTTCGTAAGCACGTGTGGAGGGTACTTTATTAGATGAAAATTTAATACATATGGATATAAAAGAGAAAAAAAATGTAGCAAATAATAGAGTTTTTATTTGAAAAACTCAAAAAGAAAAAAAAAATTATGGGATTTGAAGAAGTTGATATAATCAACTATGTTTTAGAAGTTAAGAAAATATGCTCTTCGTCACAATTAAAGAATAAAAGATTATAAAGTTAGAAGCCCTTGCTTGATTTTCTATAGCTATAATAGAGATTGTGGAAGAAATAATAGAGGTAATGCTGGCAAGGATCGAACAATGCTAATCGAGTGATGGTGGTTGGATGATGTTAGTCGATAAATGGTGGTGGTTAGGAGATGAAAGTCTGTTGATGATAAATGGATTATGATTGTTGGTAGGTGATGATTAGATGATGATGATCAGTCAATAATGGTCGGATGGTGTTAATGGTATGATGATGCAACCTAATGGTAATTGTTGGTGTTGAACTTCAAGCTGAGCTCTAAAGTTATTTAAATTTGTAAGCTCAAGACAAGGTCCAATTCATATAGAGAATGTGATCTATTTATAGTATTTGGATGTGAAATTCGATAAATTCAAATAAATTCCATAAGAAATCTTTGGATAGCCCATATTGAATACTTTAGACACATATCATTATTAAGTATTTAAATATCCCAAAAACCTTGGAATCAAATGATCTTGGACTCATTAGAATCATCTCGTTGAGCCACTCAATTTAACTATAATCATGTTAGATTCGATACCGTCAGGCCATATAACTATATATGGATCACTTTTGTGTCGATTGCTTTAAACCATCAAGACATTCAATTTGCTAATAAATTTGCTAAAATCAAAATTTCAGTAGTCTTGAATTTTTTTCAAAGATTCCTATAAGCTATCAAGATTCATAAAGATCAAGTGAAATTTTTAAAGACGAATTAAGTATAATTTTGATACCTATCTTCATTAATTTGCAATCCAACGGACCAATGTTTTCAATCAATTAGAGTAAAAAAGAAGTGATGTAATTAGCACTCTATCTTTCTCTCCCTTTTAAGAAAGCTTAATTAATGTAACAAAACAGACCTTCCTTCCTTCCTTCCTTCAACCACTTTTATTCTTCTTGATCAGAGCAAAAAAATCATTGCTCGTAATCTAAGAGATGACAGAAAATCCAAACAAAGATAGCCTTTCAATTTTAATATATATAATGCGCTTCACATGTCTGTATATATTTATTATTCTTTTCTTCATTGAACCACACATGCTTTTGACCTTCTTACGCGTTATCTCATCCATTTAAGTATTTAACTACTCCAGCAAATAATTAGCATTATCTTATAAAGAATGATTCTCAAAGGTCCTTATTATTATTATTATTATTATTATCTATTTAGGCGAATCGGGCGCAAATCACATCGGTATCAGAGAAATTGTTATATGCAGAGGAGAACCATCTGGTTTGTCTTTGTGCTTTTAATGTTCATCACTGTACTTTTATGATTCACAAAGACAAAACCGAATGATTCTCTGTGTCCTATCTCTGTACTTAATAATCTCTCGTATTATGAACAGCTTTCTTTCTACTTTTTAAAATAATTTTTTTAATTAAAAAAAAATTAAGATAAAAATTTTTATACTAAAAAGGTAATTCAAAAGGCGGTAGTGAAGCCATCCCAAACAAATCCTAAATGAGATCAAATGAGGCAGCTTAAAAAATTTGAGAAAAAAATCAAAGCAGTCCTCTAAAATGGATTTTTAATACAAAATCGGATTTTGTATACAAAAATTAAAAGCAAAGCTTTGTTTGTGATAACTTTTTTGTTTGTGATAGCTATGCTAGAAAGCTACTTTCTAGCAATAATAACAACAATTCAAAAGGCGGTAGTGAAGCCATCCCAAACAAATCCTAAATGAGATCAAATGAGGCAGCTTAAAAAATTTGAGAAAAAAATCAAAGCAGTCCTCTAAAACGGATTTTTAATACAAAAACAGATTTTGTATAAAAAAATTAAAAGCAAAGCTTTGTTTGGGATAGTTTTTTTGTTGCTTTCTATAACGAATTTTTAATTCAAAAATTTCTTGAATTGGTTTTATAAAATAGCAAAAAACTATCACAAACAAGACATACATCTATTCAGGCTTCATTTGGAGACTTTCATATTGCTTCTTAAAATAATTTTTTAATACAAAAATTACAATTTTGTATTAAAAATTTACTTTAAAAATAATAAAAAAATCATCTCAAACGAAACCTCAACATCACATATCCAATTAATCACATCATATGCCAATTAGTTAAATTAGCCAGCCATCTCCGAATATGGGGTATCGGATCGATACCTGATATTCAATGGTCTAGCAATGCATGTACCATTATTTTAAATTTAATTTAGACTTTATTTGGGATAATTTTCTTACAACTTCTTAAACAACAAGAAATTTTTATACCAAAAAACTGATTTAAACAACAATAAAATAACCATCCCAAACAAAACCTTAGGATTCATTTGGAACAGCTTTGTAGTTAACTTTATTTTTTAGACAACCGCTACAATTTAGTTTGTTAATTATTTACTTATTGATTTTCAAAATTTTCTATGCTAGAAAGCTACTTTATGTAACAGTAATAACGAAATTATTTTATCCACAGTAATTTACAACCAATTTTATAAAATATACAACTTAAAAATATCAATCTCATGTAGAGCGACAATATACCTAACAGCAAGATTTCTTAGGGATAAAATAGAAGAAATAAAAAAGAGAGGCAGAAAAAAATTTCTCAATACTCAGCCTCATTTGAGTTCCTTTCTTCATCATCTTGTTCGCCTCGAGAGAGAAAATTTATGAATTTCTTTTTGGCCCTTCCCACAGCATCAGAGGTTTTTCTTGCAGCTCCTGCAACCAGAGGTCGGAAGGAGATTTCCGGCAGGTTCGCTCGTTCCTGAATCATCGCTGCAGATAAACAGACAAGATAATCTTTGCCAAACAATTAGAAATTATAATACTTCGGTTACATAGAAAGTGTATGTTGAAGATATACAGATTGTTCTTTGGCGGGCTAAAGCACCGATCTGTCTAATCCCAGCTTCTGCAGCTTGCACTGCTTGTGCTGATTTGTTGACACCATCTGCAATCTCTTCACTGAAATGTAAAACTACAATTTCAGCTGAATAGTAGATATTACACGAGTAGATTGCAGGGGATCTGCTAGAACTGCTAGATAAATTTGCTTGAAGGTTATTAATAAAAAAATTTATTTTGACGCAGTTGAAATGCAGCTGTTATTTGATTGGATATACTTGAGTTCGCATGTAATCTTATCGGAATTACTTGAGTTCGCAAGCAACCCTACGATGAATTGGTAAAAACAGGGAGAAAGAACACAAGAACGCCAATGAAATCAGCCTAAAATAATAGATTGTATCAGGGAAATCAAAGCAAAGCAAACATAAAGCAAAGATACAATTGATCATCAATTTGAGAGGAGGATCGTTCTCTCCCAATCTCTAGGCGTTGAGCCTAGAGCCAAGACGCCAAGAAGAACTCCAAGAGAATAACTCAAATGTCCTAACCCTAGTCTCCCTCCTTTTAATACATATCTTCTTAATAAAAACTAATAAAAAGTTTCCTAAAATAGTTCCCTATGCAATTCCCCCCCTCCTCTTTACAGTCCTAGGGGGGCCCACACGCTTGGGAGGCATTCAAAGGAGGCGGCTTAGCCCGCCCCATGTAGGTATGAACCGGTGCAGGTTGGGCCGGTTTGGATGGTTCAGGCCGAACCGTAACATTATTACAATCAGTCCAAAAGAAATTAGAGGGTAAATACTGAAATAAGCGTGAGAACTTTATAATGCCTTGGGAGATTTCAGTATTCTGCTATTTTCAGACTCATTAGGAGAAGAGAAGCTGAAACTCTCGCACACAGATCTTGTCAAGATAAAACTTGAGATGACTAGAGTTTGAAAGATCTTTGTGAGATATCATAAGCACAGGTATCTCTTAGCTTACCACCTTAGTTAAACTTGAACATGATGTGAAGAATGCTACCGATTGAGCTAATATGACATCACAATATGGCTCAAAGATTCAGGTAAAAGAGAACAAAGGCTGCCTGATAGATGGGACTGAAATTCAGTTATTGAAAATCCCACAAAAAGCAAGGAATCTCGTATTCATGAATGTTGGCAACAGCTCCTTGAAGTATTAACGATTAGGAACAACTAATTCCTAGGGATTAAAACGTTTGGTCTCTGCTTTGGCTGGTCCTTCATGTTATCTTGTCCATCAGTTTTCCGTTCTATGCAAACAGATCCTTCATTTTTAAAAGACATGCGAGGAAGGTCTCAAAGCAATATTGGCCAAGCCATGCATGACGATGCTCACAACACATGACCATGTGAATCTAATACATAGGTTGAATATTGAATAAATTTATAGCGAGCAGAAGCGCAAAAGGATACCATTTGGAAGTATATTTCAACTACCTAAGTAGTCCCACATAGAAGTATTTAGAATGAAGCCTCCTTGGTGATTTTCTATAAGTAAGAGGGAGAAAATTCTTCTATGAATTTCAAATTCAGATGGAAACACCAAAAATATTACATAAGATTTGTGGCATTTGTCTCATGTAGGATTTTCTCCTATCAGAGAAGTTTGATTGCACTTTTCAGACCTTCATCTCAATCCTCTTAACGATAAAGGAGTTCGCATTTTGCTTCCCCATAGAGTTAAAGGTTGACAAATAACAATCATATGCACCTTTTGCGGGAATGTTTCGAGGAGAGTTCACATATTATGTTGTTATCACACAAGAATTATTTCTCAATATCCACACAAACTTTTAGTAGCATGGAAGGGATCCTCCTAAAGACCCATACATGTTTTTAGTGACATGGTTGCGAAATTCTATTTATTTTACAATTGTTGTATTTTATGTCTTGCTAATACCTATAAGAGATTGTTTAAAATTCATGCATGACTTTTAGGTTGTGGTGGGGAGATTTTTCTTTAACAAGTGCTTCATGAACCATATTAACTTTTAAAAGTGTAGTGGTAGACTTATTTATGGTAATAGACCTTGTACACCACCCTATGAACACTTGGTTGTAATAAGACATAATTGTGATAATAAAACTTATAAATGTGATGAAATTGCCTTAAGTCTTCATGTTGATCCCCCCATGTGGGGTGTTCGGAAGCTTTATCAAGTTCTTTTAATGTCATATACAAACAAATTGTCAATCCATGCAGTTCTAAACGTCCAAATAATAACTAGCCACTCCACACTCAAAGTAGCCACCCATCTTTCCTCTGCCTCAACAAAGTTCACAGATGAGTCAATATCATGTCAAGTGTATCCATAGGATCAAACTCAAAAATATCATATCAAAGGGGAGTCAACATGTGTCCTTTAATTGGATGGTGTCTAAGAGAGTATAACACCATTATTACGGTTAAAATAAATCTAAGGCATTCAATATGTACCCACTATTTAGATGGTGTCTAATTGGGCATTAATACCAATATATTACAATGAAGTTACATGTTGATTGTTTGAGTGGCTAGCTTGACTGCAATGACACCATTATATTATATAAAAAAAATGACGCCATTATATTATAATTAAAGTACTAATGGAACACTATCCTTAATGGTTAGTGGTTACAACTTAGTATGAGTTGTTAATAACATGACACACTTGACAGGGCCAAAAACCTTTTATTAGCTAAAGTTGGCCATGATATTAACCCATTCAATAAGCTTTTCCCACAATCTATGAGATCCCCATAAACAAAGCAAACAATGATTGCCAATAAAAATTCGTTGATCAATTATCTCTTTTGAATAAATCAATTGGGGTCCATGATATATTTAATATTGATGATCTAATCATATGATTTTGGCCAAATTTATCATAATTCTCTCACCATCTTCTCCGAGTCCACAAGCAGCATCTTTTTCTCCCCAAACTATCACAACAGGCCTAACTAGATGGGAAGCTACCACAACAAACCATATGGAGCTTGAAGATTAGCTTTAAATGAAATTCATCTCTCATGATTAATCATGGTCTTGCACCTATGGGAAGCTTTGAGCTAGATTAATAAATTGCTCAAATGAGGGCAAAATCATTGGAGCACTTTATTAGCTATTTAATCTACTTCCTGAAAAATCATCTCCAATTATATTTTTTCACACAAACTAATGAGAATATTTAGAGGTCGTAGTTATAAGGTCACTTATTTATGGAAAGTTATAATTAATGGGCCAAGAAATAAGCATAGTTGCTCATTTCATAAATGTGCTTGTTGGCGGAGTAATGGGTAGTGAAAAATGCCCTCAATCAAGTTGCATCTCAACCATGCTACCTAAATCCTACCACAGTTAAGGGAAGAAAAACCAAATGTAAACTTGATCCCAACTGATCATTGCCGCTACATGCCCTATCATTGCCCGCCTACCACACCTAGTTATAACTTGGGTGAGTGCAGGTTTCCAATCCATGAGAAGCTAGGATTGACTGGGCCAAGATATAAGCTCACTTGTTCATTGCCTTACATAATTATTGGCAGAGGAATAAGAGCAGGGAAGTGAAGATCACACCTATCAGGTTGCACCCAAGAAGAGAAAGCTTATGATTCATGTTGATTGAGGGTTGGGATGAAGGTAGTGGCCGATGAAAAAGAAGGATATCGACCTAATAATAATATCAACCTACCCCATAAATAACCATCAAGAGAGGGACATCGGAAATGGGTTTATTTACCAAAAATTCACAATTACAACTTCTACTTGAACCCTGCAAAACAACCCTTCACAACACCTTTTATTCTCCATAGCTTACCTCAACCCAACTACAATCTTCTCCTCCCCCAACCACCACACAGCTATTAGGAAGTCAAGGACTTGTTCACACAATAATTTAGAGGTTTTCCGGTATTTAAAAAAAAATCACAATCTCAATTTAACAAAAGCATTTTATCATTTCCACAAGCAAAGAAAGAACATTATGTGAAAATTAGAGAGCCTCCACCATAAAATGAATTGCACCAGGGCCCAAAACATATGGTGATAACAAATCAACTTTTATTTACTATAAGTTCTACGGTAATTTCAATTAGACTGGTAGATAGATAGTTTCATTAAATGCAAGCACTGATTTTTAATGAACAAGATAAAAACAATTCAGAAAAGGCCAATAAGCTTGATTCTGTCTCAGTTATTAACTGAAATCTCAAATCCACTTTGATTCACAATGACATCCTGTGAACAAGCCAATCCTATGCTTCGGTTATTTTCCAAGCCATCAATATAGCCAGATAAAATGATCCTGATTAGCCAAACATGTCAAGCTGAAAAATCAAGTTGGGGCATCACTACAATAGACAATAATGATAATTTCTCTTGAATTTTTTTATCTTTCCAATAAGTCCAGTATAACATCTCGAACTGTATAAGATAGCATACAGTCACATGGGGCTCTTTAATGAGCACTTTGGAAAAAAGCATCATTGCTTAACATTCTAATAAATGTGTATCATGTAGCAAAGTCTTCCACCTAACTTTATAAGCTCCAATAATTAGCGGTAGGGTAGTATTGCCTAAGGCTGCTTGATAGCACAGGGATACAACTTACAAGGTTACTAATGGTCGCCTGAGAGTTCAACAAAACATTGTCTAAGACTTTGAAATACAAGATTGGCAAGTCTAGAATATGTAAAAGACCTTGGCATGCTCACGATTCAAAAAACTATTGCAATACAAGGATCAACGTCTAACCTTAAATGATGACGTTACATGTTTGTGCTACAACATCAAGTACCAACATATTAAATAAAACACAGGGATGCACATTTAGGCCACATTATGTGAAGATGAAATTCAAAATGTCATTCTAGATAACACAAAACCTTGCACTCCTTTTTGTAATCTTACACTTCTAGATAAGATTTCTATCAAAGTGGTGATTCCATTCACACAGAAATGATACGAAAACAAAATCAATAAAAAATTTGTTCTTATTTTAATATAACAACATGACAGAAGAAATCTACCAGACAATAAAAATATTTTGTTGAACTACTACAAATAACTCACAGAAACTGAAATGATAGGTCGATTTCTGATAACTGCTTCATAGAAGACTTCCCAAAAGATCACGTATATAGTTAGTTACCTCAATTCATTCAACTCCAATGTGAGATCACTAATTTCCATTCCTGACAGTCTAATTGCAGCCATAGTACTAGGAAGCTCCTCCCTTGTAGTATCAGCTAGTCTGGCTAGAGATGTTGCAGCTCTCTTTAGTGCCTATATAACAAAATAATAATCAAAACTGAAGGCCTGACTTTACCAAATTAAATTAATATTCAAAACATCCTAAACTGGCAACAAATACTCCAAATAATTTCAAAGTATCACATGGTATATAGTATTTCTACTGATAAACAAGTAAGTCCCACTTTTTTCTCATCAAAGTTTCAACAGGGAATATGATGGCCAGTCGGAAATTCAAAATTTAAGGACGTAAGTGGTCAAGAAATAGCTCTTGTACAGTACTATTTGCTTCCTAAGAAGATTGAAGTGATATACATTTGCATATAGTTTCAATAACAGGCTTCTCGGGTTAGAAAGACCGCTATTAAAAGCAGACATACAATAGTTAAAGATAAATTCTATTCAAATCAAACAAATTCCCTTTCTTTTCCAATTTCTATAGGTTTTTGGATTGAGGGCGGAGGCATGCAAAAAGGGGTGTGAATATCTAAATTGCAGCCGAAACCAAAGGTTATCGACATCATGTGCAAAAGGGTGTTGACAAGATAGGGCGAAAGAAGGGTAATGCAGCCATAACCCCTACTTTCACTAAGAGGTTGTTTAAATGTTTGAACTGCTGACAACCATATAAATTGAGAGCAACCTAAGAAGTTACATATTTAACTGCTCTAAAAAATGCTCCAAATAGATCTATCATAAATGACAACATTTTTGTTTAATCCTTTTTACATACATACCACTTTATTTCATGCAATTACATATCTAACACCCAAAACTTTAATATTACATGCCTACCACCCATAGAATAAATATGTATCCATGGAATGAAATATTAAAGTTTATAGGGTAGTACGAGTGATAATAATGAAATATATGAGTGATATAATTGATATTAAAATTTTATATGCGAGGTAGGAATGTAATATTAAAGTTTTGGGTGTTAGATATGTAAATAGCATGAAATAAAGTGATATGTATGTAAATTCCCCTAATTTTAACTGATAAATATACTAGAAGATGACATGTCATGATGTGAGAAGCAAAAAAGCAACTAGAGAATATAAAAGTAATTGGGAAAAGCTTGCGCATTTTTAAGGATTGAACCATGTCTTATAATAAATATGTTATTGGCAGTTGATATGCAGACTTACAAAAACTCAAACATGATAATCAGTACATATCTAGATGTATGTGTTCAAAAAGTTTGGAACTTAGCAAGCAACTTAATAACTTACAAATAGAGTGGGAACAGCAGCAATGACTAGGCTGGTAAATGCAATAGATGTCTGCATCCAAGAGACAACAAGACATTATTCAAAACCAGATTATTTGTAAGCGGAAAAAAAAAAACATCCACAAGTAATCTTCCGGTGACCAACGATCAAAAAAAAAAAAAATTTCAACCTACAAATGACCCGAAGACACAAAAATAAAGAGAAGATGATCACCGTGCAAGCAATAAAGGTAAGCAGGAAAAAGGCCTGATCCCCTAAACTCATTCTGCACGTCACAAGTGGCCGAAAGAGGCTAGGGCTCCCGATGCCCACGTTCGTGTGCTCCTTTTCGACTCCATCGACGGCAATCTCCTCAAATTTAGCCTCCGGCTGGGAGGCACCTGCGACAGCATCGCTGGAGCTAGTGCGCCGGCAGAAAAGCCGGAGGTGATGACGGCGTGTGATGGTTATGGGCAGAAGAGAGGATTTATGGAAGGATTGAGGGTTAGGATATTCACTATGGACTGAGTACAAATCGGAGGGAAGAAACCTGAGCCGATCGGTGGAGGGGAGTGTGGAAGGGCGAAGCATAGCTTCGCGGTTGCCCGCTGGTTGGGGAAGAAGCGGGTCGGCCAAATTTCTGTCTGCTTGAGAATTCGCGCACTCGGCCAACCAAAGGCGCCAAGCTATGTATGGGCGAGTTTACTGGTGATACTCGACCCGTAAACCCGTGCCTGGCCCGAAAGAATTAAATGCGGATAAGAATATTACTGTTGTTTCTGTTATTTATTAAAAAATAATATTGTTGCAGGCTAGAATATACGCGGCGAAAGAGTTATAATTCTACGTCTTAACGTTGCACGGATATCCAGCTCATACACAGAGAACACAATATTTTTTACGTGGAAAATCCGGGAAAGGGGAAAAACCACGGGGCCTAGCCCAGTTGAAAAAGGGTTTTAGTGGTACTTCAGTGTTAGGGGGTACTTCAGCTTCGGATGGCACTTCAGCATCCGTTGGTGGTCCGGCGGTGGTACGACAGAACTACGGCGATGTTGCGACAATACTCCGGCGTACCTTGGTGGTCCGGCGGTGGTGCGGCAAGACTACGGCGGTGGTGCGACAGCACTCTGGCGGTGGTCGAGGAGGAGCTAGGCGGCTAGAGCTTTCTTCCTTCTCTTCCTTCTTCTCTCTTGGCTTCCTCCAGAATCATCACAATAGGTATATTTTAAAAAAGAATAAAACTCAAACTTATAATACTCATCTTAATGTTCACATTTTGTGCTTCCAACGGATATACACTTGAAATTTCCATCACATTTGAGAAGCAAAGAGAACGATTTTGAAATCAACTCTATCTAGAGCATGAATTTTGGAAAATATTTATTGAATCTCCTTATTTTTCCCTCGTCAACCTCAATTAATGTATTCATTAGTACATCTATAAGCTATTTCTTTCCTATTGTATTGATGGATTCAAATTTGGAAGTCAATTTGTCACTAACAAAAGCAGATATGATGTATTTTCCATTAGGATAAACAACAGGTTTATTAAAGGATTCCAGTCCCATTGGCTGAATGTATATTGTTCTCGCCGAAAACCTGATTAATTAGTAGTGACAAACTTTTATAATTCGGTGGAAAGCAAGAAACAGAAAAAAAAAATTGTGAGGGCTCCGATGGTGAAATGCTCGGTGACAGACAGGACAATGCAGCGAGGTGGTTTGCTGATGAGTGGCGAAGGCTGCCCGAGGATCGTGTTGTTAATTAAATGGCAGTAACTTTAATGTAAATGCTCAAAAGAAGGTCCTTTTCTTTGTCATTAACTATATATAATCATCACAAATGAGAACATCGAGAATAAAATTTGGAGAAGAAAAGAGATTGAGAAAGAAACGAATAAGAAAATGGCATATTCATACCAAAAAAATAAGCAAGAAAATAAATACAAATGGTGGATTCTCCATACTTTTTTCGGCGAGGACGACAGACCGATGGCAACCTCACGCCAAGGTCGGTTCTTATGCGAGCGGGAGGACTTTCGGGGAGGAAGGCCTAAGGCGAAGACGACAGGACTTGGCTGAATAGCGAAAGGCAGAGAAGCAGATTAGCGGGAACAATCGGCGAGAGGAAGAGTGAATAATAAAAATGTAAATATTGCATATGCGATGTCCCCTTTGAAAAATAGCTATTTTAAGATAATTTTTTTTTTAAAAAAGTAAAACATTCAATTCTTTGCTAGAAATATTAAAGTATTTAAAAACCTCAATTTCTCTTCCAAATACAAAAATAAGTAATATTATTGATATTACTATTATTTATATTCAGATAAAAAGTATAGTTTTTTCTTATTTATTTTCAGATAATATTTAAGAAATAGTTAGGTAGGAGACTCATTGAGTGAAGAAAACATAAGAATAGGCAGTGGCGGAGCCAGAAATTTTAGTTAGGGGGGCCTAAATTAAAATAGTTATGTTTGTCATCTCATTAACGGTGTCAAGCTGAGCTATAAGATTAAAATTAAGAATGCAATTAACATCACACTTAGATCTTAGAAGACATAAATATCTGCCACGGATAGGGGTGCAACTGAGTCAAGCCAGCTCGGGTTTGAGCTCAAACATGAGTTCTAGTGGGCTTCGCCGCGAGAGTGGGTCGTGGCTGCGGGATTTGGTGCGAGAGCGGGTCGCGACAGTGGGCTTTACTGCGAGAGCGGGAGCAGCCTTCGTAGCAAAAGCGGGTCGCAGGTTGCGGCAGTGGGCTTCGTCGCGAGAGCGGGTCGCGGCAGAATTTCATTGATATATGTAGTCATAAAATCCATCATTTTAGAATGTTGTTTAGGCCAAAATTTTATTTATATTTAACCATGTTTGTTATTAGCTTAAAATGTAAGAAAAAAATTATAAATCCTCTTTATATTTAATCATTTTAGAATGCAGTTTAGTTTGTTATAAAATGTTATGGGAATAATTCATATTTTTATTAAATTTTTGTGGCATTATTAGAAAATAAGTTTTTTATGTATAAATAATTATAATATTAAAAATATTGATTTACAATTTTGCGTACAATAATATTAAACAAATTCCATCATAGCATTGATTCTCTTAATTTATGATGAATTTTATGACTACATATATCAATGAACCAAGCCACTTAAGCAGCACAATAAATTTCATACTATTTATTAATTAAGTATTATTAAATCTATAACCGTTGTATTGAAAGGATGTGTCTCTTGGCTAACATTTGTTTCAGTTAAAAAAAAAAAAAAAACGTGGCTTTCTGTATGAGTATTAAGGTTTGAAGAAAAAATTCTATTCCCTGTTCTCCTTTTCCTCTGTTCCATGGAGCATTCCTTTTTTAATTTAGTTTTATTTCTCAATTCTCTCAAATTTTTCTCCAACAGATGTATGCCTCACCTCTCTCTATTTAAAAAAATTTTAGGGGGGCACGTGCCCCCCCTTGCCCCCCCCTCCCTCCGCCAGTGAGAATAGGGGAGGAAGGGTAGCATAGGAGCAGGCGAGGATCCACCTTAAGCCCGAGGGGGCAATGCCCCCCTTTAAATTTTTAAATTTTATTTTTTATCATATGATTCTTTAGATAATTTATCCATCATCATCTATGTTTTAATCTTTATTATAAGAATTCTTAGGCAAATAGTAAAAAAATCCCCCAAACAAAAGCTAACTCTCATACTTCATGTATATTTAATACTTCTGAAATGAGAGTCAACTTCCTACTTCAACTATCAATCTCCATCACATGGCAATTTTTCAATCTCAATAAACATTTTTGTAACTCCATATAGGGGTGTAAGTGAGCCGAATCAGCTCGCGAGCTGGCTCAAGCTCAACTTGTTAACAAGCTCGTGAGCTGAGCTTATCGTGCCACGAGCTCGAGCTCAAACTCTAGCTCTAGCTCAAACTCGAGTTCGTATATTAAACGAGCTTCACAAGGCTCGGAGCCAGCCAGAAATTAGTATATTTAGGATATTTAAAAAAAAAAAACTAAGAGCAGCCGGCATGTATTATGGGGGCCAAATGGTTTCTTTTCAAGTTAATTCATATGGTTTATTTTCATTGTCTCGTTTAAGTGAAGGCAACTTTTCATTAATGCAAAATATCTTTTTGAAGATGACCGTTTTTCAAGATGGCTGCCATTCATAGGAAAAAATAAAAATTTTCCATTGGACATTCACAAGCGGGAAAAAGAGAAGTGGGCGGTAAAAATAAAAAATGAGACATGATAAATCAAGGGGCTCGCGAGCCGGCTTGAGCTTCGTCCCACTACAAACAAGCTCGAGCTCAAGCTCGCTTTCCGACTAACGAGCTGAGCTCGATATTGTTAAAACTCGACTCGACTCGTTTACACTCCTAACACCGTATTTCATACAAGGGATACAATTAATGCTTCATTAGAGATGACTTTTTTATTGCTTTCTAAAATAGCTTTTAAAACAATTTATACTAAAAAACTACCTTTGAAAATAAATAAAAAAATTATCCCAAACAAAGTCTAAGTGAAAAGCTATTATTAATAATCACCTTTTTTAAGGATTTTCTTCCTAATTTTGAAGGTATAGATGAGAAAAGGAAGTTGTTATTATTATTTACAGGAAGATCTTTTGAAATATAACCTAACTCAAATAATAATAGAAGAAAATATTTTGATAGCAATAATACTAATTATTTATATGAATAAATGACACACTAAAAGAGATTTTCATTTGTTAAAGATCAAATAAAAATAGTTGGGTGACTAACATGAGGGCATGTCAATAGATGATCATAACTCCTTGGCGCAATCTGTTTTTCAACTTCTAAAAAAAAAAAAAAAAAAAATTTGTGAGCCATATAATGATTATTTATACATTCAAAGCTCAATATATGAAAGATTATTGCACTATAATATTAAATATATATTGTGGCTTTACTAGGATATTGAAATTTACAGGATAAAAAGAAAATTTTAACATTCCGATTCCAATAATACATAACATAAATTATACAATTGTTCTGAAAAAAAAATATATTCTTATTATAAAAAGTAACTTTTCATCACGATTTTTTCAAAAATAATGAAAAAAATAATAGATACAAAAAAATTAATTGCTATCTAAAGACTAAATAGAGAGAAAAATGTCTCAAACAAATCATTAGTCATAAGAAGACTTTAAGAGAAATAAAATAATATATTCTGTTTTATATAATACATCACAATATTAAGGTCATAGCATTGCAACATTTAAGTAAATGAGACAACTACTTCGGAGATGGGTTCATTCAAGCAAGCAGTAGTGCTTTAAATGTCTCTCATGTATTTTTAGATAATTTTCTTATTATTTTGTAGAACTATTTTTTTAGTAAAAAAATATATTAAAAATAAGAAAAAATAATAATCTAAAACTGCCTTTTAACAAGTAGCTGCATCAAAATTGGATCATGCATCCCTCACATTTTTTTTTTTGGACATTTAGGTCAATTAAGGCAAACTCACACACACATTGCACACACAAACACAAAGACTCGAACCCAAAACCTCTTAATTGATAGTCTAAGCTCTCAACCAACATGCCAAAATGAGCTGTGTATCCCTCACGAATTACCCTTGGACTTATAGAGAAGCCTAGGTTCACATTCATCATATCTTGAATCACCTCAGAAAATTGGAAGTGAAAAAAAAGAAGCAAATATAGAATTTTCCAACTCAAATTGGCTGTTAAACAAAATAACGGCTCATAGCAGCAAGTCAATAGACTAATTAAACCTAGTTCAAAAGACAAAAACAAAGTTAGATATAATAATCATAGATGAATTCATATGAACTGCTAACCAAACTAAATGTGAAGATCTTCTCTTAAGAATTACCATGCAGCTCAACGAAGCTCCTGAAAGCCACAGCTGCAGAATTATCCATTTATTATAGATGATGAAGTCTTCCATTTTAGTTGAGATAGCGCTTAATCACAGCATGGAATAATTTCTTAAATGCTCATAAATACCGACATGGAGGCTCAGAAGGATGCATTGCTGTTTGAGTATTTTGCTTGCATCTCCATCACTAATCGTTCAATAGCATCAACAAAATGAGTAAGATCCTGCCGCAGATGAACCTCCAAAGAGTTTGCTTGCTCCTAATTTAATAAAACAAAACTTCAAATCAACATCCAGAGCATCATAAAGTTATTGGACCAGTAAGCAGACTAATCATCCAATTTGCGCAAAGCATCGCATTCACACAACTAAATAAGTGGTTATTGAGAAATTTGGAAGAAAAAGATAAGCACATTTAACCAATGACTTTTTATGGCATTGTAGATACGATACTACAACAACAATAACAACAACATCAAGTCTTTGTCCCACTATATGGGGTCGGCTACATGAATCTTTTTTCTCCATTGTGTCCTGTTAAAAGTAAAATTCTCGTTTAAATCTAATAAAGAAATATCATTTCTAATATTTTATAACCAACCAAGTCTTTTTAGGTCTACCTCTACCTTTCTTAATATAAGTCAAATCTAATACCTCTATTTTATGAACCGGGTCATCGGAAGGCTGTCGTTTTATGTGGCCAAACCATATAAGGCGACTATCTCTAATCTTATCTTCCACTAGAGCTACTCCAAACTTTTCACCTATATTCTCATGAAGCATATACATTAGTAAAATCTTTTTAAATGAGAACAAATAAACCAGTAAATATATTTGAAAGTCAGTACCTTTGCACGGTGTTGTTTTGCAACAGGTTTTCTTTCGTTTTTTTAGGTGAACTGAATAATGAGATTCTTTTAGTTGTTTTAATTAGATTATAACAATGGTAAGCAAGATGGTGCTTCGAGCGTTTCCTCGAATGAAGCACAGGATATTTTACATTTATTGAACTGAGGTTCTAAGTAATATCTGTACTAATAGGATATAGAATATTCATTCCAACAAAATAGTGCGGTAAAGCTTGAAACTACCTGGACCTCGCAAAGCAAATTCCACGGAATGCTTTTGGAATGGTCGCTAGAATGTTTTAGCGACCAAAGCATTAGAGGATAACTTGACAGTGGCCACCCTTGAGACATTTTTACAGAAGCTACGAGACCACCTTCTAAATGAGTTGTAATTATCTCATCCGGGTCAGAGTACACAATAGAGCGTCTACAAAAAAAAAACGATAGTATTAAAGAATCAAACAGATGCCGTGTAGATACAATAAAAAAAGAAAATGGTGGCAGACAATCAAATTTGATGAAAAAATGCAATTTAAAGGAGGGTGGGGGCAATTGACTATAAGATGGGTTCAATTTCTGGTCCAGTTTGTTGCTCTGATCTGTTAGATTGTCAATTGCAAGAGTTACCTCAATTGGTAATACTACACAGGGAATTAACTGAGTTTTTAAGTTAGGAATGCACAAAAATTCAATGGGATTCAAGCCAATTCAAGTTAAGTCAATTCGGTCTATTTGATCTCAAATCAAAAGGAATTTGCCGGTCTACAAAAGAAATCATCTCAAGCAGGCGAATACATTTTAGAAACTCATCCAAAGTAGGCAAGAATAGCATATCAAGTCAGTCTCTGCAACAACTCAAGTGGCCTCAGCATATCAGCGATTCGGCTTCTTGTACGCATCTTAGACACCAAGCCAACAACTTTTTACAAGCTCAACATATGACTTCTTCAAGTTGGGCATTCTAATTACACTACATAATACTTATATTTTTCATTTAGTTTTGTATAATCATATATGTAGCCATTCTCATTACTCCTACAACCCTATAAATATAAAGTCAGAGGGTCATTTTGAGAACATTTGAGAAAAAAAAAGGAGAAATAGTTCTCTCATACGCTGAACACTAACAATAAAATTTCAGAGCTTCTCTCTAGTCTCAAGTTTTCTTTGGCTTATTTCTCTTTCTCTCTCATCACTTTTTTCATCATATTTTATCAACTTAAATCTCATAGCTCTGAGAGTATGATTCTTATATCATCTATGGACAATTCTGAGTCAATATCCTAAAAGTTGTTGTGACAAAGATCAAGAATCAAGCAAAAAAAAAAAAAAGATAACTGGCAAATCAAAAATAAAAAACAGCATAAAATAAAGATATATAGATTTATTTTTTATTTAATTTTTTATTATTTACAATTGATTTGTATTAATTTTGGCTACAAATTTATCATATGCATGATAAATCACACTCGCCTTTTTTTTTTTTGAATCATAAGAGTATAACTAGGGATGATATAATTGGACATCAACTATAAATGTGATTTACTATGGCAATACTCCAATGTATCTTTAATTGTTTTATATGGCCTTAGATTAAGAACAATTATTTGATCGACAAATCTTAAGATCCAAGTCATAACTCTTGCATTTTTTATTTGCAACTAAACTAACTTTAGAGACTTAATAAAGGTGAGATTATTACCATCAATAAGTCCCTATAAATTCTTTCTAATTACAAATAATTAAAAGTTACTTTAGGTGTTTTTAAAAATAATTTGATTTGCTTTTAAAAATAAAAATAAAAACACTAGGCAAATGTCATATCCAAAATTCAAAAACAAAAACAAAATCACAAATGGTAATTAGTTCTGATTTGTCTCAGGAGACTAGGGTTATGGGGGTAATGTTGTGGGGGTGGGAGTGTGATTATAATTAATTCACAAATTGATGACATAATCAACATAGAATATTTTTTGGCAGTTAGAAAAATAAGGCTATAATTCTAACCTGGAGCTGCTCTCATTTTTCACCAATAAACGCCTTACATTACAGAGAATAATGCGTTGTTGAATCTGTCTTAGTAACCATCCTAAGATATCCTCCGCCGCATGAGTTAGCAAAAACCTGAACATTAAAATGTATAGAAATATACTAAATCTACCAAAGCATCAAAGAATCAAAGTCTAAGATTTATGGCACCATGTAGCATTCGAAGCATATAATTAGATGGAGAATGAATGTTACATTACATAAGTAGAAGCAACGACATTGAAAAGCAAAGGGAAATAAAGTTTAAGCAGTAAGTAGCTAACAAAACAACTGGATGCTAATGGTACAAATAAATTTATGTGGATACTCAAAATTCTGTTGGTTATATCAACATGGAATTCGCTAGCAAGGATCGTACAAGCATAACCGTTAATTTTTTTATTAACAAAGACTCATAAAGCACAAATAATTTTTTGCACAATATAAAATATACAATTTACCCTTCTTTCCAATTTATGACATAGGATATCAATATCATTATCACCAGCCTTATAAGAAACTTATGAGTCTGTATTATCGATACCATAGCCTTTTATAGGGGGATTTAAGCTATAAGTAGTACAAAAATGTCTCTTAATATATGAAACAAATTTGAATACTTGCTAAATTCTAATCGCTAAAGATATTAAACTATTCTTAAGTTTTAGGATTGATTTGAGACAAGATATCAAAAGAGATAGGACACCCAGCACATTCCATCACTTAGAGTGTGTTTTTTCAATTTGTAATAGATTTTGAACAAATATTTAAAATTCCTGTGTCTAAAAGGATTTCTACAAAATCACATGAAGTGAATCATTTTGTCAAGTAATCAATTTAGTTGTTGCACCTACTACATCAAAGGGTAGTAAAACTATATTTAATAAGGATATTAAGCGAAAATCAACTACATCTGCATCTGGATCTAAGATTTCTAAAAAAAACTTATTTTAAGTGTTTAGTCATTCAAATATCCTAGTAGGAACTTACATAAACAGGTGGAACAAAATAATAATAATAATAAAATCAATAACTCTCATTACGTTCCATTATTCATTAGTTTTATGAAAAAATTATTGATTTGTGAAGATGTTTTAGATAAAAATACTTTCAATGTCATGTGTTGTAATATAGCTACTCCCCAAGTTGAACCTAATTGTAAGATAACTACAAGTATTCAGCATATTACAAACCTGGGGAGAAGATTTAAAACTAAATTGATAATGAATTAGCATGAATGTGTCCAAATCTTTTCGAAACCACATTCATAACCATATAAAATAGCAAGGATAAAAAGAATTGCTATTTTTTTTTGTCTCAAACATGTTTAGTTCCAATTAAGTTAACTATCTATATTGCGAAAATCTAGTGTGACGTGCTGCTCATGGATTTAGCTCAAATTATTTGGAGAAATGCTAGATATGATGACTGTTGTTAGGATATTTTCTAGAATTGATTTGAGGAGTGTTTATCATCAAGTTAGAATAAGAGAAGTTGATGAATAAAAATTAACTTTTACTTTTAATAATGTATCATGTGAATGGATGAAGATACCTTTTCGATTAACTAATACACCTATTACTATCAAGAGAATCTGAACCTTGCTTTGTGATCTTATATTGGAAAGTTTATTGTTATTTACTATAATGATACTTTATTCTATTGCAAAATAGGAGATGATCATTTGAAGCATCATAAGAAAGGTATTTGAGGTTTCAAAGGTTTAGTACTGTCATGGATTCACTTATAATTTTGCATAAGAAAGGGGAAATTAGATTGATCAAATTTATTGATCGCACGTATACTAAAATCAAAGACAAAATAAGATAAAAAATAGACTTACAAATGCACATATGCATTAGTTACTTGATTTTAAGAAGATAATTGAGGTTTCTTGTGATGAATTTGTTTTTGATATTGAAAGAGTCTTGAGACAGAAAGAATCATCGTATTATATTTTTTAATGAACAATTGAATGAAGCTAAACATAATATTTAAACAAAATTAGAGAGTTCTATGTTATTATGAAAATAATCTGTTGTTGGAGGTATTATCTTTTATCAAAACACTTTGCATTAAACATTGGTCGTCAAATTTTGAAGGGACTGGCATGCTAAGTGGGTTGAGTTTTTCTAGGAATATTTCTTTTATTCTTAACTACTGTTGGACCTAAATATAAGCTTGTTGATTCTTTGAGTATATTTAATCATATAATATATGTTAAGGTAACAAATTTTGATCATATAAAAGAGGAGCATATTATTTGTCAGAATTTTGGATAGATTTATCAATAATTAATTAAATAATATAATTCATCTTATCTTAACAAATATTATATTTTTAAAATAACTATTTATTTAAAAATACTAGTATTTGCATTCAGAATATCTTTGACGGACCTTTTGATTTAGAACTACATGTTGGGAATATTGCTGACTATTTTGATAGAGATAAGATCATTGTAATGAAGAGATAGATATTTCTAGCCAAGTCTAAACAGTAATGTAGCATGAATTATTTCATATTGCAGAACTTGTTAATCTACTAAAGAACAAAAACATAACACAAGATTGTACACACCTAGTGATTTCATTTAAAAGTTGGGACTATTATTAACTTTGAATTTGGTTTATATGAATATTGAGATTACACGATTCTTATGTCATGTTAATATAAAACTATTGATGCATCACATATTCTGAAATTTTATTTTAAATAAGAGGTTAAATTGCATGGGTTGTTTAAAACAATTATTTCTAACTGAGATAAAAATTTCATGAGTCATTTTGAAAACCCTTTAGAAAAATTGGGGACAGAACTAAAAATTTCAATTACTTGTCATCAAAAAACTGTTGGATAAACTAAAGAAGTAAATAAGAAATAAGAGATATATTATATTGTTTGATAAAAGATTATGCATATGAGTAGGATTTCGCAGTTTGCATGCAATTCATCTGTAGTAGGTTTACTGGCATTAGTGTATTAGATATTATCATGGGATGTCAACCTTGAAAATCTATACAACTTATTAACCTTCCTATTAACTCTAGGCTTAGCCATCATGCGTATGACTTATTTGAGGATAACAACAACAACATCAAGCCTTTATCCCACCACGTGGGGTCGGCTACATGAATCCTTTTTCTCCATTGTATCCTATTAAAGGTCAAATTCTCGTTTGAACCTAATAAAGAAAGGTCATTCCTAATATTTTCTAACCAGGTCTTTTTAGGTCTGCCTCTACCTTTCTTAACATAAGTCAAATCTAATACCTCAACTCTCCTAACCAGGTCATTGGAAGGCCGCCGTTTTATGTGACCAAATCATCTAAGGCGACTCTCTCTAATCTTATCTTCTACTGATGACCAGTTCATAAAACCTTAGTTGATCTTAGATGATCAACATCGGACAGCTTCTATTCATGGTGATGCTCTTGATAATTTTCACGGATTTGAACTAATCAGCCAGGACGATCAAGTTATTTTTCCATCATCCAGACATCCATTCAGTGTGATTGTATGAATGATATTCACCGATTTATACTAATCGTACAGGACTATTTTATCTCAGTCTAGACGATATGAACAAAAATCTTCTAATAGTCCCAAATCGTCTTGGCTGATTGAGCTTAATTTGCACTGATCGTACAAGATGTTATTTATATCATCCTGGATGATAAAGTCAATTATTTGTAATTAATGAGCTATTCTGAAGCTCTTCTATTTAAGAGCACTTGTTCTACCCATTAAAACATCTTTCACTGCTGTTATGACCTAAGAGAGCCAAGAGGAAAAAGGAGAGACACTTAGTTTAGTTCAATACTCGGAGGGCACCTACGGAGAGTGGATGTAGGTTATGTTGACCGAACCACTATAAATTTCTGTGTTCTTTATAACTGCTTCTGCATTTAATTTCCAAACTTTGATTTCTATGGTGAATCTTGGTTTTTGTTTTAAGATTGTATTTTGATCGAAAGATTTTTTTAAAATACCAATATATCCCCCCCCCCTCTTGGTTAACCATGGGACTAGTTCATAAGGGCTTAACAATCCTGTCGAATTTCCAAGTGCCATCAAAGCACTTTTATTATGTGCTCAACTCAAAAACCTACCATGTATAAGCTACAAAATTCATATATGATAAAATTTATTTCGTACAGTATGAAAGAACACTTAGAAAATGATATATGATAATAAGAAAATCTTCTCAAAAATAAAAACATGACATGCTTTGAAGTTAACACAAAAATGACAAACACAAAACTAAACACGTAAAAATGAACAAAACAAATAAACAGAAATAAACTAAATAAACATATATTTACAACACATTAAGATTGCAAAATTATAATTTAAGTGTTAAGATCAATCATACCAAATTTGGTTCTTAAGATGCTAAATGTATCAAAGGCCAGTGTTTTTGTGAAAATATTTGCAAGCTGATTTTTTTTAGTTACATGGTTCAATTCGATCTTAAGATTTTGTGAATATTAACCAAAATATTTTTGTGAGTAAGATTTTAGATCTTAAGATTTTTGTTTGTGCATGAGGATGCTAATGTTATGTGGGAAAAAGTGGCTAGTGATATTAAGAATATTGCAAAAGATGTTCTTGGAGTATCAAAGAGAAAAGCTCCTAATAGTAAAAATAGTTGGTGGTGGAATCCAATTGTGCAAGAAAAGATTAAAAATAAGAAGATTTGTTATAAAAATTGGTTTAATTTTCAAAATTCTGATAATTGGGAATTATATAAAGTGGCTCGTAAGGATTCTAAGAAAGCATCACCTTTATTCTTAAAAATAGAAATTAACACACTCATTCTCCACACATCTGGCATCTTTTTAGTCTTCAAAATAATATTTAAAAGTTTAGTAAGCCAAGAAATACCTTCATCTCCTAAGCATTTCCACACCTCTATTGGAATATCATCAGGTCCAATAGCTTTTCCACCCTTCATTTTTTTTAAAGCCTCTCTAACTTCGATTTTACTAATACGCCGATAAAAACAAAAATCTTTATTTTCATTTAGTGTGCTAAGATCACTATAGTCAATCTTATTTTCACAATTTTCATTAAAAAATTTAGTAAAATATCACATCCACCTTCGAGGATATTAACAAAAAAATAACTTTTAACTATGACAATTACATGCTTTCTGTTGATGTGAATACAAGGCATTTAGAGTTCAAGCCTAGTGATAAAATTATAGTGCGTTTAAATTCATAAAAGATTTCATCATTAATCTATAAAATTTAATCCAAGAATGACACGATCATTTAAAATTTTGCAATGAATTCAAATTAACATTTTAGCATTTAATATATATTTCAATGTGTCCAAATTGAGCATATTTCATGAGTCTATTGTTAACTCCATAGATTATTCTGTCTTTATATGTTCTCTTTAAAAATCCACATCCTAATCCTCTACCAACTAATTCTAAGAGCTTGTTTTTTACGCCATTTTAGATGATGAGAATGCATCCACAGCTAATAGTGCAATTTTATAGATACATTGTTCATTGGCAAAATGTATATATTTGTGATTACTCATGAATTACTTTGTACAAAGCCCAAAATTTTGTCATGCTTTACTTCGCTAGTATCAAATGCTAAATAATGAGCCAAATTTGGGAGTTCAGAAAATTTAATAGAAATATGTATGCTTATTTTTTATTCTCATTAGATGAGTCACATCAAATAATTATTTCAACATAATTTTTTTCATTAGTTGATTTGATTTAGTTCGGTTTGAAATTTCAATAATTCAAGGCATGATTGTGATGATGCCCTCGAGAAAAAGTGTATTTGTTATTTCCTAATATTAAGTTAATATATATGATTTTGTATGAGCTTAATTTGGCTTGGATCTTGGATACCTCAAGTTCAATTCAAGTGCTAACTACAATTTCTTTCTTAGGTGAATACTTTTCTTGATCTAATTTCTTTAGCATAATATGTGTTATTGCTTACTAGTGAGCAAGATTTTGTTCAAATTTTACACAACTATGATTTTAATTGTGATGCTTAAATTATAATTGCTAGCAAATTTTATGGGCTCAAATTTCATCTTGATTTCTTCCAACTTATTCAATCACTACATTCTAATTCTAGAACTTTCAATTAAGTTGTTGACTTATTTAATGATTTGTGATTCATGAATACTAATTTTTTTATGTGATTTACATATTGCATCACTTTAGTTGCATTATAAAACCCTAAATCATCTTGCTTCATGCTGCTTGATAGTATTCTGGCATATCTAATTTCCACTAGAAGCTCAATTTTGTTTGTTTAAATAATTTATCTATAAATTGCTAATAATTTAGCTATTATCCGTTGCTCTTACTCGATTAACCTTCTTAAGCTCCATTTTGTCGTTCGCTTCTCCCTTCTTGAATAGTAGAAGCAGTTTTAAAATGTTTGTTACAACAACTATGAGAATAAGTTCAATATCATTAAACCTCAAAAGCAACTATCTTAGAGCAGTACTTTAAGTAGCATCCTGAAAAGTTTATATATTTTAGCTTTTTTTCGTATATATAAATTCATCATTTTTAAATTAATTATAAATTAATTAAGTCTGGGATAATATTCATTTGGTCATTCAATTAAATCATAATAATATCGCAACAATTTTTTTTTACCAAATAGACACAAACCCATATATCATTTTAGACAGTTATCTTAATGTGATTTTAACAAATAGCCGTCCATTTCACTCGACCATACATTACAATGAGAAACAAGACGACAATGATAGGCAGAACCTTGATTATTTTAACTTATAATCACTCAAACCAAAATTTCCGTAAATAGGAAAAACTCATAAAAAATCACAACTTAATCAAAGCATGGTAGACATTGGGAAAGTAGTGTGCATTTCTAAGTCAGGATTATTGCATTTCTTTGCCACTCAAAAAATTAAAATGGTTAGAATTAGATATGAATGAAAATCAGGTTCAAAGATCATTCTTTTAAGCAACTTATGGATAGTTGTTTGAATAAATCTTACTAATATTTAGAAAAAAAAATAACTTCGTTACTTAAATGCAGGTAGTATTGTATATTCTTTAGAAATAAGAAATAAAAAACACTATTGCAGGGACCTAGCTGCATTTATTAACTTAATAAATGCAGCTCATACATGGGACTGTATAACGCATTAAAAAATTTGCCTCCCAGGCCAAAAATGCTTGCAATGGGATATAAGAGAAAATCAAATTATAGGGCAATTCTTCCAAAAAACTTATGGAGATTAATTTAGTTAATATAATAGATTGAAAGCAAATTTCTCTACTTTAGTGCATCTAGAATTGAAGAACTTTAGAGATAAGAATTTAAAAAACAACTTTTATAGGAACCAAAGCTCTATACTGTTTAACCATCACCAGGAATAGAAGATAGTCACATAAACAAAGTATGCAGAAAAAATTAAAGAGAACCATAAAAAAAGGCCAAAAAAACAAAGCAATGCTTTTTAATCTTAAGATTTCCATCCCTCTTTTTATGCCCAGCTTATTTGAAAAATTCATCTGAAGAGGAACATATTGACAGTACATGCCTTAGTGTAATATGCATTAGTGCTTCCACGATCTATAGATACAAATATGTCAACCCTAAAACTACCATTAAGATTTACTATAAACGAACAGCCCATAGCTGACCAGCTAATTGGTCATAATCATTGCAAACTAATAGTTGCATATGATAAAGGATTGAGATGGATACTACTTTATATAAACGCACAAATTTAGGCAAAGTATGCCCAAAAGCTTACAGGACAATCCATCTCAATTTTTGCTGGCCTTAGTGAAGGGAAAAAACTTATGGAATAATTGATCGTACGTAAAAAGTTTCTATTATCTAAATATTCTAACAGATGAACAGTTTTAAACAAATTCCTTAAAACATCATACCTTGAGGACTTAACAGCATTAATAATTCCATCAAGATACACATCACCAGGGAATATCTGAAAACCAGAAAGATAATCACAGAAATAGTCAATGTAACTCTACATAAAAAAAGATAAAAAAGAGAAAATCCTTTTGGAAAAAGAGACCAGTAGTAGTTGGAAATAATAAACCATGTTTGTATTAAAACCTTTCATCAGTATCCTAGAAGCATTACAACCACACATTAGTTTATTGACAACTATTATTGTTAAATTCAGAGAATTGAAGAGGAAAAGGCCAAATTTTATTATAAAAACCTATTCCTATTTATAGATCTATACAAGATGACTTAATAAAAAAATACAAATAACTATATAATCATGTATGCTTGCCTTAATATAATACTTCTTTAATCAGCCACCCAAATATAAAAGGAGATCAGCATGATCCAGGTGAGCCTCTCACAGATCCCCATGCTGATCATCGGGTCAAGGGCCAAGAAACGGATGAGATTTAACAGTGTGATCCAGGTTAGACTCCCACGGATCCCCATGTTGGTCGTGGGATTAAGGGCCAGTGGACATTAGGATTTAACACTCCCCCTCAAGATGGAAAATATAGATCTATCATTCCTAACTTGGTAACCAATCCCAAAAAGGTGGAGTTATCAAGTCCCTTGGTGCACCATAGAGTCCTCCATTTGGTCAAAGCTTTAGGAGAAATTAACTTCAAATATTGTGGCAGCCAAGGATAGCAATGAAAGCTATATCAATCAAGCCTGCAAGGTGCAGGGCGGCAATGGAGGCATCGTTGAACAATAACCCTCGAGAAACCATAAATGGAAATAAAGGCCAGTGGTGCGACAGCTGGAAAGTGGATTAATTATCCTTCGAGTTTTCCACCCTCTAGGTTCTCAAGAGAAGGATGGGAAGGCCGATAATGAAGGCACAACAAAAGAAAAAAAAAACTGATTTTAGAGTTGCAGTAAGCTTCATGGACAACAGCAAAAAAAATATGTATGTCTCAAGCAGCTCAGCACTTGATACGTAGATCTCCTCCTATCCGATTGATCATCCTTCATCCCAATGCAAATCAGTCGTCCGATTCCAGCCGAATAGACTCTTGTTTGATCGGCCCCGTACAGGCGCAAGCAAGGCCTCTAATCCCTATGGACCTATCGCAGGAAGGAGTGCAGGTCTCACACTCTTGCTTGTCTTAAGCACGATGTCGCCGTTCTCAGGAGGTCCTGGCCGCTGTCCAGGCGCACGATTAGGGGTGTCAATATTTGACGACCCGGAAACTCGACCCAATCCGAACATTCTGGGTTAGGGTCAATCCGTTTAGGAAATGAGACGAGTTCGGGTTTAAAATCCTAACCCGATTGCAAATTCGGGTCAGGTTTGGGTCAACCCAAAAATTCAACATCAACCCGGAACCGACCTGACATCACGCACTCGACCCTGCTTCGCCTGTCACCTGGCACATGTAATCCCTAACGACGCACTCGACCCTGCTTCGCTCTAGTGCATATGGACTTCCACACCGGATCGGATTACCGCTCCGACCGACCTCCAGCAAGCCCTAACCGCGCACAACACTGTTCGATCACACCGCCCAGCGCCTGCGATCCATCTACTGCGATTTTAACCCATGTGCAATAAGACCTAACCGCATCTGGTTGCACCGTGCCGCATTCCACCCACCATGATTATGTTCACCACTTCGAGTCTTCCCTGCAATTTCTGCCCAGCCTCAGATCAGGTTGACCCGATTTTCTGGCGTGTCGGGTTCGGGCTGTAAAATCTAACTCGTTTGCAAAAACGGGTCGAGTACGGGTTGTGTCGAACAACAACAGGTTGTTGTCAAGTTCGACTCGAACCTGGCCCGCAACCCATTTTTGACACCCCTACGCATGATTTCTCATCCTGTGTAGTCGCACATACATGAGAGAAGGCTTTCAGTCAGCTCAACTTGAATCCGCCCCAGACGCACAAAAGAGTACCCCACCCGCTCGATCTCTCCTTGATCTTGGATACACGAAGCAAGAAGAAAGACCATATTTCTCATAATTCCGACACTGAAAGTCAGTGATGGGAACCAGCATTCCTTAGAATTCCAATAATATTTAATAAGGTGGTCTAATATCATGTTAAATTCAGAGAATTTAAGAGGGAAAAAGACTTCATTTTATTATACAAAATTAATCCTATTTATATATCTATACAAGACGTCTTAGAATCATACATAATTGCCTTAATATAATCCTTACTAAATCAGTCACCCGAATATAAAAGAAAATTAGCATGATCTGGGCGAGCCTCCCACGAATCCCTATGTTGGTCATGGGATCAAGGGTCAAGGGACAATTGAGATTTAACAAGGAGCCTCCAACGAATCCCCATGCTGGCTGTGGGATCAAGATCCAAGTGATGGCTGGGATCATAGTTTAAAATTGCAAAATTAGAGACGCGCCTTTGCACAATTCAGCCCCAAACGCCTCATTGCCTAAGCAATTTTCGGTTTAATTAGAGGTGAGGCGCACACCTCTTCAACTATTGCCAAACGGTCTCCAGGTAACTTATTTTTGTAAATGCAAAACACTTTAATATGTTCTAATTATCATTTTTCTTCTTGAAAATACTTAAATGGTGGATCCAATTTGGTGATTCCACCCGAGTTACAGAGTTTTGTTGTTGGAGTTTTGGACCTCAATTGTTTTTCTTCTGGGTGTGAGTGAAACTGAAGTACATATAGTCAAGTGCAAACAAAGAGAATAAATTGACTTTCAACACTCAGAATAAACTCCCTTGTGTATATTATGCACAACAAGAGGTTGAGAGAGAGGTTGAGGAACAAGGGGTTGAAGGATGATGAGGACCCTTTGGTGTGTGATGATGTGACATCTGATAATGAGTGGTTCATAGATGATAAGACAGATTTGCCATTATCAGACTTGCAACTAGAGGATCTAAGTGTGGATGTTTTGAGGGGCGAAGCAAATCAAGTAGTCACATCCACTAGTACCACACCACACACATCCACTAGCTCTGCAACACAAAAACCAAATAAAGGTATTCCACAACTTTTTATATGCTATTACATTATATTTATATTTTATATCAAGTGGGCAAGTAACATGATAATGATCATTCTTATTGAACAAGAAAGAAAAAAGTGAGTCACGTTGAAGATGATGAAGATATGACATTCATAGATATAATTAGAGAAGAAGATTCCCTTAAAGACCCATTTAGTGATGAGACATGATTGGATTATATATGTTCTTTCTTAATTGCACTTTGGGAGTTTTGATAGACTAATACTTTGTGGTTTTGTACTTTTGATGCGGGCAAAAAATATACTATTTTCTTACTTT